TGGTGGCTAGGAACCATTTGTATCGTAACTCCAGTTCCAGGGCATCCAATGCCCTCTTCTGACCTGCATGAGTATTGCACAACTCGGGTGCACTTACACACATGTAGGCAATACACTCACACACATAAAATAAAAACAATAAATAAAATTAAAAAAAATACAAATAGGGGACTGGAGAGATGGCTCAGTGGTTAAGATCACTGCCTGCTCTTGCAGAGAACCTGGGTTCTAATCCCAGCACCTACATGGTTACTAACAACCATCCATAACTCCAGTTCCAGGAAATCCAAAGCCCTCTTCTGATCTCCACAAGCTTCACACGACATGTGTGCACTTACATACATGCAAGCAATATACTCATACACATAAAATAAAGATAATAAAATATTTTTTAAAATGGAAAAATATCCATGTCAGTGCTTGAGTTGGTGCACTGGCTCTTCCTCACGTTCCACAGTCTCTAATTTCTTTCCTGACTGTCTATTCCCTTTCACTCCTGATTGGAAGCTGACCAAGTCCAAGTTCAGTCAGAACAAAAGACTTCATGAAAACTGGTGCCAGAGGTCACAGCACTCCCCGAGAGTGCAGTAACCTGAATGAGAGGCTGAGGAGGATGGTCCCCAACTCCTGTGTGTACTAGGGTCTTCTGGGAAACTCCTAAACCTATCAACAGTAAGGGAGCCTCCCCCACCCCTACTCCCAATTTCAACATCCTGCATCAGAATCTTTGGTGACATGCTTATATTTTAAACATTTAGAAATGCATTTATTAGTGTGTGTGTGTGTGTGTGTGTGTGTGTGTGTGTGTGTGTGTAGGTAAGAGGAAAACTTGCAGAAGCTGATTCTCTCCTTCTATCTTGTCCATCTCAGAAATTAATCTCAGGTTGTCAAACTTGATGGCAAGCACCTTTACCTGCTGAGCCATAATGCTGGTCCATGCACTTTTATTTCCAAAGGAACGTGGGTACACAGGCAGTGTTCTCTAGAAGACCAGTATGTGTGTGTGTGCGTGTGTGTGTGTGTGTGTGTGTGTGTGTGTGTGTGTACATACTTATAAAAGGGAGTTAATTAGACTGCTATGTGCTTGAACACCTGAAGGCTGGATAGTTCCACAGTGACTGCCTGCACACTGGGGAGTCAGAGGTCCCAGGAGCCACTCAGCTCATGCAGCTGGAAGCCTCAGAACAGGGTGTGGGGAGGCTGAAGTCTGATGTGCATGAGACATGGCAGCCACAATAGATGCACTGGTTCTGGGATGGTGGAGCTTACGCATGCTGTCTGCTTCTCCTACGTCCACTTCTCTGTCAAGATCCTTGATCTGGTGGATGATGTTGCCACGTTTGGGGTGGGTCTCCCTCTGTTTCTATCCCACATGTCAGTCGTCTCTGCAAATGCCTTCATAGGCTCATCCAGAGTATGCTTTACTAATCCCCTAAGTACCTCTTAATCCAACCAAGAGGGCAGTAAACATTAACCATCACACACAAGCCACTTAGAAACCACTTGATTTACAAAGCAAGTCTCTTACCTACACAGTCACAGACAAAAGGTGACTCCACATGGTTATCTGACAATCTCATCAGCAAACAAGACTGAGATCTCAGAGGCCAGGGGAATGTGCCTAGATATTGAGTGTAAATCTACACCTGGTTCCTAGGCATGTAGTCTGAAAAGCAGCTCTGTCCTCTAGGTGCCCACACCTTAATCTAATGCCTGGAGCTCGGACATGTCCTAACTGACCTCGCAAAGGAGTTTGCAGACGGGACGGAAGACTGAGATGGGAGATCAGCTTGGCTGTATGGACGGGCTCAGGACAGTCGCGAAGGTCCTTTGAAGGTGAAAGCGAGAAAGTCAGAGTCAGAAAGATGTGACTACAGCCGGGTGGGGTGGTGCATCCCTGTAATCCCAATACTTAAAATTTTGAGGGAGGAGGATTGCCAGGAGTTTGAGGCTAGCCTGTGCTACAAAAGCTGTGACTTCTTCGGAAGCAGAGAACACACACAGAAGTCAGGAAAGAGGAATGGGATATAAGTGGTTTCTAGAAATTGAAAAAGGCAAGAAAACATTTCTCCCCAGATCCTTCCAAGGGAATGCAGCTGAACTCACCCATTATAGACTCCCAGCCTAGACACCAACCTAATGTATTTGGTTGTTTTAAGCCATTACGTTTATGGTAGTTTGTTATAGTAGCAATCAGAGACCAATACAGAATGTGGTGCCTGGGGTGGTGTGCTGCTGTAACAGAGCATGGAAATGGTTTTAGAATTGAGCAATGGTCAGAGGCTGGAAAACTGAGAATGATGGGAAAGGATGAGACTTTCTGGAACAGAGCACTGACAGCATCGGGAAATGAATGCATTATATTTGGCTGCCTTAATCGCCTAAGCACTTGCCAGAGCCTTGAGCTCAGCTTCATTGTGCAAACAAGGATCGAGGAATCCATGCTTCTTCAAGAAAAAGAAAGAGTCAACATTTCACAAGAACAAGCTGATAGGGCTTTCAAAAACACTGTGAATAGACTGTTCAGGTTTAAGCACGTGCATCCCCATCCCTCTGCCTCTTCCTCTCTTCTCTGCAGTGACTCAGCCTGGCGTCGGAGACCTTTTGTTCTGTAAGCTATAAGGTGGGGCCCCGATTCTCTGTATTTTATTGGTCTTTGGCCTCTTAGCATTGACTATGATTTAAGATTCATTTCTGGCTGTTAACCAATGCTGATGACTGGATATGGGGAAGAGTGACAGAAGTGATTGTCCGAACTGGAATGAAGGATTGGTGAATTCCACAAATACCTGCCCACAGATCGTCTTCTGTTTGGGCCCTTGTGACTCTGTAGGAAACACTGAACCTGAGCCAGAGACCCTGGTCTGGCTCAGTTATGCAGCAGCAGAGACCTCTCAACTCTGAGCTGTGATGGAAGTTTTCCAGGAGACGTGCTGCCAGATCTAGAAGAAAACTTCGATGGGCATGCGTCTCTGTAAGATCATCACCCTTACTCTATGATAGACAGACACAGAACAAATGACTTGTCCTAAGTGACTGAGACAGTGCCAGCTCCAGGATCAGAATCCAAGTGTCCCTCCTGCCAGCTAGAGCTCTCCCCACATCACATGCTGCCAGAGGCACTGCTGATCTAGCCTGGCAGTGGCAGTCTCCCTACCAGATAGATGGGAAAAAGCACTGAGAGTTTGCTCCCTTGTGGAAGGGCTGTGTGTGCTTAGAAGGTCCAAATGCCCCTAAGGGGGGGGTCAGATGCTATGTAAGGGAACACAGATATTTAGACTGGATATTTAGAAAGAGAAGAACCAACCATTTAATTATGTGATCCTAGACTCCTGGGGTTGGGGTGGGGGTGGTGATGGAGAGAAGTGCATTCAGGATTCAGAGAAGCTGGTGCCTTTAAACGTTCACAGAAGGGGAAGTGTCTGTATCTGAAGCCATAGGTCCTTCTCCATCTTTGACTATCCTGGTTTGCTTTCTATTGCTGGGATAAACACCATGGCAACTTGGGGAGGAAAGGATTTATTTCATCTTACAGGTTGCAGTCCATCATGGAGGGAAGCACGGCAGGAGTTCAAGGCAGGAACCCGGAGACAGGAATTGAATGGTGACCATGGAGGAATGCTGCTTACCGGCTTGTTCCCCTGACTTGCTCAGCTAGCTGCGTTATACAGCCCAGCCCCTCCTGCCTAGAGGTGGCACCACCCACAGTGTGCTAGGCCTTCCTACATCAATTAGCAATTAAGACAATGTCTCATAGATATGGCTGAAGGCCAATCTAAGTAATTCTTCAGCTGAGGTTTCCTCTTCAAAAGTGACTCTAGGTTTCTGTCAAGTCCACAGCTGCAGCTACAACAATTACATTCAGAATTTCACCCTGCCCAGAGCACTTTTTCTCCAAAGTCCTCTATTACACTGTATTCAGCCCTCATCTCTTGATGGGCCTTAGTCTCTCATTTGTCTTTCTACTTTGTGACTACATGCAGCCACCAAGACACATTTTTGAAGGTCACCTCTGAACCTCTGAATGGGACCCATCCCTCTTCAGTGAACCAGACATTTTCATCATTTCCTTTCAACTACAAGGTTGGATATAGTATCACATTCTCACCTTCACATTCGAAAACTTATATTCAATCTTCTCTTCTAAAATCCCCACCACAGGACTGGAGAGATGGTTCAGCGGTCAAGAGCTCTAGCTGCTCTTGCAGAAGACCCAAGGTTAGTTCCTAGCATCCACATGGTGGCTACCAACCACCTGTAACTCCAATTCCAGGGGATTTGATGCCCTCTTCTGGCCTCTGTGGGCATTGCACACATGGATGCATTTATAAACATTCAGGCAAAACATTCATACACATAAAATGTGATTAATTGATTATAAATTAATTAATCAGATCCCCATCACTTGGCATAGACATGGCCGCCATCTGATTGTCTCCCCCTTTGATGTACACACACCATCATTCTGCATCCATGCATTCTTCATCTTTCTTTTTTTCTTAATGTTTCTAACTTTTCTAGAAAAACCCTAACCATCACCAAAGATGAATTGTTGTCTTCCTCTGCTTATGAACCTTGCCACCATCACCTTCTGGAGGACGGCTAAATCCCCCAATTCTCCAGTGCCCGTAGTGTTTCTAATTCCTAGTTAGAGTTAGTTGAGGGGCAGAAACTGGAGGGGAGGCAGCCCAGTGAAAGGGCCGTTGGAACGTATGTGAGGAGAGTAAGAAAAGGAAAGTGGCCTAGGCTTTTGCTAAGCATGTGACTAAGCAGCAATGCCAGGGGCTGGAACAGTGGCACCAGCATGTCCAGCTAGGCCTATCTTAACGACTCTATGATACCCAGATGAGACCGTTCAAAGGAACAGACCAACCCAATCCACTCTCCAGTTTCTCCACAATGTGAACCCCATCCTTGGTAATCTTGTCCCTGTCCCCCACCAAATTTATACATTCAGCTTTGTGAATTTCCTCAAGAAAACACCAAAAGCCAGACTTTTTACAAAAATATATATTGCTCAATAATTATATAATATTCTTTTCCATAATAATATTTTAAACAATGCCTTGGAATTTAAAATACAAAGTTTTTTACTCATCTTTACAAAGACTCTCATAACATTCAAAATGTAGAATCTGGGTCCACACAGGGTAAGCAATGGTCCCAAATCTAGTCTAAGAAATACTAATATCCATGGAAGATGAACTCAAGACATCAATAAGTTAAATAAGATTAACATTATTTAAGGCGATACATTCCATGTCACACTAGTTCACTTTCATACGGTCGCTACTGTAGCAGTGTTTGAGGTTACTAAAGGAAGGCTTGTGGTAGATACATTGGCTGCAGATTCTTGGGTTAAGTTAGTGTTCAGCGGTGCTGAAGTTTCTAGTGTAGATGTTCTTTTAAGTATAGCTGTATGTCCTGATAGAGTTGGGTTCTGTTGACTTTTCTGTTCCAGTTTGGCAATGTAGTCCTGGACCCAGTTCTGCTTGGGGTCAGCACAGATCTCCTTTTTCTGCTTGGTGGTGAGGCTGTAGGAAGAGAGAAGACACCTTTACATGAGATACTTCTGATCCGCCAGGAGTTCAATCCACTATGCACCAAGGGTCTGTGTAGGGGCGGGAGGAGGAAGGCATGTGGAAGAAAGGAACAGAGTAGCCTGCTGCTTATAGTGCATCCCAGAGTGAGCTCATGGAATTGGAATGGTCTGAACAAGGACCGACACTGACAGTGGTGTTGGAGTCACTGTTAACTTAGAACCACTGGACACTGGATAACTGACTCTAAGCTCATGTGGATCATCTCTTGTTCTTTGAGGAAGAACTTTACAGGAGTGAGGGGGGTGGTCTGTGAAACTCACATCACAGCTTCTTTGGGACACTTGCTGCTGGTGATTCTCCTGTAGCTCACCAGCCTGTTCTCTGGGATCTTCCTCTTGTTGAATGTGTAGCAGCAGGTGACTGGGGAGTTAACTGCATCTGGAGAACCAATCACAAAGGAGAGGCATGTTAGGATGTGCTAGATGCTTCTGGCCTTGAGTAGAGTCATGAGGAGAAGGCAGTTTCCACAGGTGTAAGGGGTAGAACCCCTTAAATCCCAATATGTCAGCTGGGATATGATCTACCCATGCTGACTCAGTTTTCTATGAGTTTACAATATTGGAACAGACAGAAGAAAAGAGAGCTGTCAAAACTAAGTGACTCTGGGGAGTGCCACTAGGCAGGGCTAAGAATTCAATTTATCAGGGCCAAAGAAGATTACCTGGAACCCTATTCTAGGCTCCAAAATATATGTCTGATTATCAGCATCCCTGATATCGACTGCCTCTTCAGAGTCACTATTTCTGGAAGTTGGACTGGACGAAACACAGATTCAGGGTCTCCTCCCACATTCCCTTGTGTATGGAAATACACTACACACTCACAGCCTGGGACCCTCCTTAGATCATCCAGGATCCCAAACACTGCTGAAAGCAGCTAGGGTAGGAAATCTGAGGGATGGAAATTCTAGTGTAGGCTCTGCCCAGGAGCAGCTGTCATTGATTTGGCTCCTAGTCCTCCTCCCAGCTGCCTTACCTTGCTTTAAAAAAAATCTGTTAAGGTAAGACTGAGTACCTCTCATTCTGTGATGGCTCATGGCAACCCAAAGATGGAGCTAGGTGCTCTGGGGATAAGGAGGTAGGGGTCTCACCTGGTTGGGCCAGCACAAGAATGCTGCAGGCAGCAGCTGCGAGCAGTAGGCACACGGCAGAGACCTTCATGGTAGAGGAGAGAGCGAGCTTCAGTGAGAGTTGTCAGGCTCTGGGCTGACCTCAGCTTCTCTGCTTTTTGAGCAGCTCGGCCTCCGCCTTTTATTGTAAGCCAAGGGGGTGGAGCCAGGCAAGGGGCTTGCCCACCTCTTTCAGGAGCATCATCTTCAGTGAATGACGAAGTGGAATGTAGAATCTGCTGAGCAAGAGCAGCGCCCCGGGAGGTTTCCAGGAAGTAGAAACGAGAAGCTATGGGTTGAGACTTGGCACCTATTCCAGTCTCGCTACTGCAACCAAATGAAATGGATTAGGGAGAGGGAAAAGCGGAAAGGGGAGCCGGTATGCCAGACTGACCGCAAGTGTGAATGGAGTGGGTCCGCTTTCTCTGAAGTAAGAGAAAGTAGGCAGGAAACCCGAGGTTCCAAGGGACCTGGAAGCGTGTCCCATCTTCCTTTTGGACTGATGGATCTTGGAACTGGAAAAGGACCTTGAAGGTGAAGTGGGCTCCACCAACAAGCCCACCAGGTTCTTGTTCCACAGGCCTTGCTTAATAGTGCAGTCAACAGCTTTGTTCTTTAATATGCAGGGACGTAGTGGACGGATTCCTTGCAGAACTGTAGGGCTTTGTAATCATTGAAATGAATTCTCTGAGTTGCAAGATTCCAGAATTGGAAGAAGTCACACAAATCAGCTCATGTGGCAAAAGCATTTTCCATATAAAACTCATATGGCACTTACTCTGTGCCAGGAATGTTTGGAACCCTTTGCAATGTGGTCTTTAAACTCTCCAACTAAGTAGGTATTGTTACTAAGTAGTTATTGTTAGTTCCCATTGTATAGGTCATGCAGCTGAGGCCCAGACAGTATATGCAGGTATCCTGCCCAAGTTCCCCTGGAATAAACCCAGGTAGTCCAGCCTCCAGTTCTGTGCAGCCATTAATTATGGTGGCTTACTAACAGAAGGAAACATCGCAAATTGTCCGGCTTGTTTCCTGGCTGTGTGTTGGCTTTCCTCTCAGTGCTCAACACTTACCAAAGTAGTGGCCAGCTAAAGGGGCATCAAGAAACATTCCTCGTGGTTAAGTCACTGGGTGCTGGGAGCCTGTGGTTGGCAGAGACGGCAGCAGTGGGCAAGAGGTACACCCTACTCATGATGGCCTTCTTCCCTGCTTCCTTCTTGATTTCCAGAGAGCATGAATAAGCAGAGGAGTCATATTTGGGGAACTGGAATGCCTGGCTTCTCTCTATAGTTCAGCCTTAGAGTTCTCCAGGAACCATGGGATTATGGCAATATAATCTAAAAGGTCCTTAGAATTCATTTCAGCAAATGTTTCGCTTTTACAAAAATGGCTGGACTCCCTGAGGCATGCCAGTGCCACACAGAGCCTCCCACTCAGGCGCCTTGACTCCCTCATTCTGCCATACCACCTTTCTGAGACTTGCTGTGCACTTGCCAGATGGAATTGGCAAGTCCTAGGAATTGACCTAGGACTCTTCTTTTACAGAGGGTAACAGAGACAATGCCTATAAAAGGAATGCAATTTCTTGGAAAAAGCAGTTTGCCCATTCCCATATTTGTGATAGGAAATGGGTTGCATCAAACATGTAACTGTGTTTGGTCTACTGTAAGTGGTCATTAACAGCATTATTGGGGGCTTACTAAGAACTGGGAATGGTAATGAGGTCCTTCCAGTACCGTCTAATTAGTTGTCAAACAACCTAACTATCCGTAGGTTGAAAGTGAAGTTGAGTCACTTGCCTGGTAACACAGGTGACCCAGGGAAACTGTTGTTCCCATCCAGGGACCATGAATATGATGCTAAGTGTCTCATGATGGGTATTGGTTTCCTAGAGAATCTAGGGCAGAGGCTCTACTGGGAGAACAGTCTAGATTCTTGGGCAGAAATACAAGCAGGTAGAGGAAGAGAGAACAAGCTGGGTTATGGTCCTTTAGGGACGTTCTTTGCATTCGGTCTGTATCTTTATCTGGCTAATGCTTTTTCCTTCCTGACTGGTGTCAGAACCCCTCTGTCTTTGGCTCAGTCCTTTGCGGGTGGCTCACTCCACTCTTCTCAAATATGTGAAACATTTCCAGGACAGGAGACGATAGCTTTGCACAGTCATTCCTTCCCAGACCCTCTTACTTTAACTTCCAAGAGCTTTTCCTCATATTCATAGAAGCTCACAGCTGAATATGAGTGTGTCATTTTCTATGGAATTTATTCATTCCTCGGGCTTTCTGTAGCATTAACAATTTGAAAGACACTCAGGTCTTTAAATGGTTCCCTCTGGACCCCATCCAGTCTCTATCATTCTATAATCCCAGATCCAAAAGACCTAGAGAAAGTGTGTGTGTCTACTTCTCTTTGTGTGTGAAGAAACATATTCATGAGATGGAAATGCACCTGGCCCAGGACCACAGATTGAAAAGCTCTTAGCTTTGCCAAGCATTGAGACAGATTATTGAACCACAGTTGCCATCTCTGAAAAGTGAATTGGCCACTGCAAGCCTTAGTTAACACAAAGGAGGTGAACTGGTGTGAATCACAAACAAAAGAACGGAAAGTGATTGTCTGTCTTCCACCCTGTCTGTCGTCTTCCGCCCTCTTCTACTCTTATCAACAAAATATGCCTTTCCAGCTGGTAGGTCAGCAGCAGCAGAGTGGGAGAAAAGCTTGGAAATTCCCACTCTGAGGCAGCCTTGGAAGTTCCCTGATCCTGCTGGAGAGAATTTATTTGGCTGCAGTCTGCATTCTAGAAGCTGGGCAAGGAGCCAGACAGCTCTCACGTGGGCCTGTGCTGGGAACAGTGAACTGCTCAGCACAGGCCTGGGCTGGGCTCTGGCTTGGGGGCATCCAAGGGAAAGGCCCAGGGAAGAGATGTAAGTGGGGTGAGGATCAATGTTTTAATGAACCCCAGCATCCCAGGACCCGTGGGAGGGGGCCTCTCCTTTTCACCACCCAGATAAGAAATGGAAAGTTTCTCTGGGTGAATAATCCTCTTCTTCTTCCTCTATGGGGGCTGCCTGGTTTTCAGGATCCTCCACTGCATGAACCCTGGTCAATACTGTACACTCCCATTCACTGACCGAATGGAAGAAAGAAGTACCAGTGAGTTCTCTAGAAAGATCAGAAGTAATGCCTGAGCCCTCAGCTGACCACTTCCAGTTTACTTACTAGCATGTCCCTGTCCCTGTAGGATGTCCTGATGACATCCCCAGCCAAGCATTTGAGTGAGGTGCACATTTGGTACCTGCCCAGAGTCATCGTCCAGCAGCTGCCCTCTACTCTCCCCAGGTGAGCACTGAGCTCCTATGGGCCAGGATTTTGCTCCTGGGTACTCTGCAGTCCTTTCAAGGACCACAGACCTCCATTATTCCTTCACAGAATGTCCAGTGGGAATGAGATCTCTAAGATGATGTACTTATTTCTCAGATGGAGAAACTGAGGCCAAGAACAAGGCCACGACGAGCCCAAAGTGATGCAGAAGGCTGATGGCGGTACTCATGCTGGCTCCTCTCTGAGATCTCTCCATGTTGCATTTTCAGGCCTGTTCTGCACCATCTGATCATAACACCAGTGACAGTAAGCATTTGCCTTGGGCAAGCCTCAGGGAGGGTGCTGAGGAGAGTGAACCAGATAAAAAGTGCTTCCTAGGAAAGTAGTAGACTGAAGATAGGGCTGAGCCTCAGAACAAACCTCAGCAGGGTTCTCTCTGAGCTTCCAGCATCCAAGCATTTCTGCGTTCTGCTGCAGCTCTGCTTCAGGTCCACTTTCACAAAGGAGCCAATGGCATTGGTGCGTTGAAGGAGGCAATGGTGGGCAGGGTATATTGAGAGAGAAAGGGGAGGGTCACTTGCAGCAGTCTGGATTGGTTGGGGAAGCGGTGCATCACTTGAGACCTTCTCTTGGGCCTATGAAGGTGAGAGATGAAGGTGGAGAAGCCAGGTGAACTGATGGACTGACAGAAGTATGTCACTCTGCAGTACCTTTGCCTTGCCCAGTGAAGAGAAGCTGGTTTCTTTAATTGGGGCTTGCATGACACAGCATGGTCTCTGAGCAGAGTGATGAGGAGGCCAAGGGACAGGAGAGCACATTTGAAGTATCACTGTGGAGGTTGAACTCGGGGCAGCCACAGGGGGGTGAGGGGGCCTTAGGGAAACAGTCCTCAGGTCAGCCAAGTGGAGACAGAGGCATTGTTTGGTGGCCTTCAGTGCAGTTCTTCAATGTCCGTCCTTTGCTCACCTGGGGGAATCTCAAATGACATGTAGAATAATTGCATTAAAGAACGATGCGGCGCCTTGAGAGTTCCAGTGAGGCTGCACAGAAGGCTGGGGTGTAACATTTAAGGTGGACTCAAGGGGTAGGCAGAATTGCAACTTGGGTCATTGTTGACTGGGGGAAGAGCACATTCTAGAGTAAACCTCTGGAGATTGCACATTTTAGTATACTTCTATGTGCCCTTGCATCTTGTTCAAGCACAGATCCTGATTTGGTGGCACCAGGGCCTGAGACGCACATTTCTAGTCAGCTAGGTGGTACCAGTGCTGTGGGTGACCAGCTCTCCTGGAGCCACCCTGAAAGAGTAAAGGGCAGTACACACTGCTCAGGGGTGGGACACCTCCAGCGGCTTCTCTTGCCCAAGCAGGCTAGCTTCTTGCCTGTGATCTTTAGATAGGCTTTAAGAACCACCATCTGGAGCCATCCATAGCAACGTCATCTTTTTCTGGAAAGACAATTCCCGATTCTCTTAGATTAGCAGGGCCATCTATAACCTCCCAGTAGTTAAATACCACTGAACTATCGGAATGAAGTGCTCTGGGTTCCTCCACAGACTTCCTCAGTCACACTGTAGTTTTTCCAAGGTCTCTCCTCATCTTCTGGATGGTTGATAGTCTGTGTTTGAGAACTCTGGGGTTAAAGTCTGGGGTATATCAAGTAAGGACTGTGCTGGCTAGGCTGGGCAGCTTGAGTAAGGATGAAGAACAGGTTGAAAAAGAAGAAGCAAGAGAAGAGGGAAAGATGAAGAGAGGAAAGGGGCGCGAGGAGAGGCAGGCTGGAAGAGTGGAAAGAGC